CAAAACACCCCCATGCGTTATTAATTGTGTCCTGGGATTAGATATCTGAAAAGTAATTGGATATGGGAGTTGTGCTTCCGAAAAATCGTATGAATTACTACTAGATGCACGTAACAATTCTTCAAGAATAAAAGGTGGAAGGATCAATTTATCTCCTTCCAAAGTTGGGATAACTGACCCTGATAATAAAGTTCTGGTATACGAAAACGACATTAAGAATAACTTTTATAGTGAAATTCAAATTCTTTTAGAGAAAATTCTTTTTATTTAATAAAACGTAGCTGAGATCAGCCTCTATTTATAATTTTTATTGCTATAGATTACGTAATCCCTGTAATACCTTGTAGATTATTCTCGAAATTTGATACACGTAATTCATACTAATATTCTTAATGTTTCCTTTTTTGTAATTAAATAAATTAATATATTTAAAAATTAAGAATAATATAATCAACTTTTATTCGATTTACTTATTGGAACAGGTAAAAATTCTTTTAAAATATTCAAGATTTTAGCTTGGTCAATAACCTCTAAATGAGCTTCATCACCACCACCTAATAATCCTCCGTAAACTCCGTCTACATAACACCTTGTGATAAAAGGTACAAAACTTCTAGCAAATGTTGCATTAAATCCTTGAAGAACCGTCGTATCATGATTATTGTCAACAAGAAGATTTCCATAATTACGTAATGTCTCTGATATTGTCAAGAGGTTCCAAGAAAGGTAATCACCAAGTGTATAATATAATGATACGGGGGCCACTATACGAAGAGAATTAAAAGCTGTTAGATAGGCATTTGTTAAATAAGCGATAGGTGGATAATCTAATAGAATGACTAATGGTGTGAATGAAGAAGATCGTATTGAAGACTCAATCAAATTAGTAGATTTTTTATCAACTATCATCCATGTGTTTGGTAAATTTATATTCTTAATAGCTTGTTTCAATTCATCTAAAAAGACTTGAGTACCATCCGAGATAATTTTCTTAATTATTCTTTCAACGCCTTCTTCAAAATATCTTGTCACAAGATGTCTAAAGTCAACACCAACTCGACCAAGTGACATTCCGCAATACATAAGCTGTGTCAAGATTGATGAAAGGGATTGAATATCTGTTATAAGAGGAGTGAATTCAGCAAGAACTGAAGTTAATTGATTGAGAATATGAATTGTATAATCAGCAAGAACAGTAGTTGCTATTAAATTATGTCTTCCAGTAGGATTATCATTGGTAGTATCCGTCAAGGAAGAAGGCGTCATCCATGGTGATGAAGGGGATTGTGGAATCATAAATGAAGAATAAATAGGTGTTGAAGCAAGTCCTCCACCATCTTCTGCAAAAATTGATCTATACTGAGTAACTATATCAAAAAAGTGTTCCCTAAAAATATCGATCCATTTTTTTAAATATTGTGCAGGATCTTTCTTTTCTTTATCAATTGAATGAATTAAAATCTGTAAATAGGTATCTCTAGAAAGCAAAAATACGAGACGTAATTCTGCTTCATCAAATGCTTCCATACGTCTTAGGTAACCAATTACTTTTAAACAACTTGGTAATTTGATCGGTTCTCTTAAAAGGGAGATTAATTTTGATAACATTGATTGCATCGTCTGCTTAACATCTTGTTCAATTTGTCGAATCAAAGGTATATTAGAGTGTTTTGAAACAAGTCTTGCAACATGTTGTGATAAATCCATGGCCTCAGAATAGAGACCATTTCGAACGCAGGTATCCATTAATTGGGGAATTTCCAAAATTTCCAATAGATTATCATTATGCTCTAAAATTGTATTAATTTTATTACGTTGTAGTGATATTTGTTTAGTGTGTTGAGAAAAAGAATTAGATGAATTTTCTAATGAAGGAATCACTGTCATTAAAGTAGATAAATGTGAAGATAAATTATCTAAAGAATATTTAATTTCGGTATAACAATTATTCACATGAATACATGACTTGTACTCGCGAAAAGAAAGTTCTGCCAACTCTTTCTGAATTTTAGATTCTTCGTCTTTAACTAAAGTAGGTTCCAGTTTAAGTGATTCTAAAGAGAGGGAAGTAAGTCGATCGAGATAATCTTTGCTCCATTCTTTATTAACTAGTTCGTGTTGTTTTTCAGGTAAAGAATCTGTTAATAAACTTAATAATATTTCCTGACCGCTGGTATTAGAGTGTGTTGATGTATAAAATTGTTCTTTTTCGGTCAAATTTACGTTCATGTTAAAAAATACATATATTATTCATTGTAATTTGCAACCGGAAAAATCGGCAATGAATCGCATCACGTCACAGTGTAGATCACATTCACATCCATTCGAACCGACTAAATAAGAATAAAGTTTTGTTTCACAAACGCAAATAAATTTTCAGATGATTAGGATGTATAAAATCCGATACTCCGTAGTACGTGTTAATATATCTTTCTTTTCTGCTTCCCACGAGGAAAACTGTTCAAATGACCTCTCGAGGTTATTATAAAATATACCAATTATTTTAACAGATATTTATTTATTTTTGAGATAAAAAAAAATACTACTATATATATATATATATTTTTTAGCAACATTTATATTTCTTTACTTATTCTTTATAGAATTTATTCATAAAAATGGTTAGAAAACTTGGACCGAGACTTCACCGAATAGGTTCCTTATATCCTATGGAATATGTAGTTAAAAGCAATTCGGCGCAAGAAAAGTTGTTTAGTATCCAGCCTGAAACAATATATTCTACAGGTAGTAATCCTTCAACCGTTCCTAACTCTCCTTCCGATTCAGCAACCATTGTTGGTTCACCTATATCAACTAGAGCTAGTTCCCCTTTTGAAATAGAAATTAGCGATACAAAATCACAAACAAAAACACCCACAGATTATTTTTCTGAGTTCACAACACTATGTTCGAAGTCTTCACCAACAAATACTTTATCGGAATCATCAAATAGTTCAATAACGACTCCGGATTATTATTATTCAACCATTCCTAACTTGTCAACGCCGTGTAATAACAAGTTTAATTTATCATCTGCTGGTTCTCAAAAGACAAATAAAAGAAAATCATCCGTAAAGAAAGATACACATCAATTGCAATACGAGCAAATTATTGAGTTTAATGACAATATTAAACCGAACGATGTGAAATCTGAAGAGCCAATTACGAATTCCGGAATGGTTTCAAATGTTAAATCAGAATATACATTCGTAGAAGAAAGTTTCGGTTTAGTGAATTCTCCAATATATATGCAGGTAGGATATGATGATATTTATAATTAGTTTGGATTTACGTAGATAATTGTCATTCCTAAACTTCCTAAACTAATTCAATAGGAAAATCCGATTCAAACGACTGGGGAATCTAATTTTTGGGAAATGCCGCAGTATTTATCGTACAATAGTTATTATAATTTACCGAATGGGCCTCTCAAGCATGGAAGATCAGGCGACGTATTTTTGACGGATTGGAATGACCAAGATTCCGTGTTAGATCCTTAGTTTTATTTTTTTTTTTTAAACAAAAAAAAGAAAAAAAAAAAAAAAAAAATGCAATAAATTACAGCTATGATATTTGTTCTTTCTTTCTATATTTTTATCTAAAGAAACTAGATAAATTCTTTAAATTCTTTTAGATGATCAACCAACGGATGATCGTATACAACATAAATTGGAATGGATCAACTTTATTTCTAAATAAGTTGATTAGTATAATTTTGATTGTTTTATTTTTTGTAGTACATTTCTCCGGTTAATCATTTGTGGAATGTCTATATTATAATAATTTTGAAGAATATTTGTTGTTCCGAGGCAAAAGGTTCGCGAAAAAAAACAAATCTTTTGATTTTGCCAATTTCGCATAAAAATATTTAAACGATTGTTGAATTCTAATGAAACTGATTTCAGACAGTAAAGTCGGAGTGGATTACGATATATTGAACATAAAATTATATAATTGTATATAATATGACGCGTGAAAATTTAATAATGGGTTTTAGTGTTTAGTTACACGGATTGTCAAATACAACAAACGATTTCAGGGGCTAAAATTGTACGACCAAAACATAAATTTTAGATTTGGTGTATTTAGTTGTTTTTCTGAACAGTTCAATTTTATTGTATTTTTATTATTTGTTGCATCGATTGTTTGAACAATGTTTAAAAAAATAAAAAATATTATATGATGTATGAAAAAACTGTCATGTGACTTATATTAACGTGGCTTGATTTTCACTAACCGAAAATTTTTTATACAGATTCAAACCTAAAAAAAAGGAAATACCCAAATTTTTAATTTATTTATCAGTATGGTGGAAAACGTTACAACTTTAGAGTTAAATACTTATTCAGAACCCCCGACAATTATTGCAGAGGACGAAGATGGAAACACTTATGTTGAAGTTTCGTCAGAAGAAATGAAAAAACTTAATCTTCTCTATCGTAAGGTAGTCGAATAACATTATTTTATCAACTCATGAGTATACATAAACCTTATAATTTTTTATTTTTTAAAAAAGGGTTTCAGTAATGCTGTAGAAACTCTTGTTCCTGCTGAACTAAAAGTTACTGGGGAACTTCCTTCATGGCTTAACGGGGAATTTTATACGGTAGGTCCTGGTATTTACGATATTAAATACAACCGCATGATTGAAAGTGAAGGAGGAGGATATGAAAGTGCTACAGAAACATTCTCAATGGGTCATTGGTTTGATGGGTACGTAATTATTTGCCAATTATATATATATTATTTATATTTAACAAAGTTGTTTAACCTGATCATATATTAATATTCAGATTACCTCTTGTAAATCGATTTGAGTTGGATGGAAAAAATAATAAAATCAAATATCGATCAAGAATTACCTGTAGAAAATATGAGACGAAAATACGTGATCATCATGGAATCGTTACAAAACATCCTTTTACATTATTCAAGACTCACGTAAAGTAATATTAAAAATTAATAAAATTATGTTGAATTAGTATAAATTAAATTTAATTTTATTATTTATACTCATATTAAAAGTCAAACGCCTATAGCAAAATTTTTTGGGCAAAAACGCACAGATAAACCTGAAATGGAACCTTGTTCTATTAATATTAGTACAAATTTTCCATTCTATAAGTCTGGCGAAAAACCTAAAATATTTTGTCAGAATCACGCAAGTCAAGTAAGTTAAATTTAATGGAAATCTTTTGATAATAAATTCATTTTTGATAAATTAATTTCTATTTTAACACCTTACATAGGTGGTGGAACTTGAAGCATATGATCTTTCTCCTTCACGGGTTTATTCTTGGGATGATATAAATCCTCTATTTAGAGGTAATCATGCATCTCCTCATCCACATTATGATGAGAATACTGGAGAATTAATTAATTTTAATATGGAAATTCAAACATTGGGAACAAAATATAATTTCTTTTCCATCTCGGAAAATCATCCAAGTGGAGAATTTATTACCAGCGTGTCTGCAAAAACTAGTTATGTACATAGCTTTGCTGTAACACCGAGATTTATAATTTTGGTATATAATTGATAGATTAATATATCTTTTTTGGTTTTATTCGTTTTAAGACTCAAATAAGTATTTTATTATTTGTCACAGGTCGTGTTTCCTTTCTATGGAAAAAATGCCGGTATTAACGTCAAATGGTCGGATAGCATCTTAGATTCACTTTCTTACAATCCGGAGGAACCTACGCTATTCTACGTTATATCAAGAGTAAAGAAACAACTCGTTGCCACTTATAAGTCGGATCCATGCTTTGCGTAAGTGTTTAAATGTGTTTTTGAAATTAATTTCTCAATTTTTCTTATCAATAACCTTTTAAAAAAATTAGATTTCATCATATTAACGCTTTTGAAGATGATGATGATAATTTATATTTGGATATAGTATGCTATGATAATACAGACATATGTTATGATTTATCACTTGACAATTTAAGGAATGGTTTAGTTGTTGGGCTTCCTTTAGCTGAAGTTCGTAGATTCGTTTTACAAAATGTTCAAATTGAATCATTAAAATTTTCAAAAATGCCACAAGCAACACAACTGGAAACTCTACAAAATACTGTAGTTAGTTTATTCAGGAATGCTTCACATCAATCGATTAATCCTTGGCCTATTGCGAATTACGTTCGTTGTGCAGATTCTACTTTAGAACTACCAAGGTCAGTTATTTCAAAGTCTTTATTTTTTTTAACATATAATAAATCAATGCTTATCATAAAATGTTTATATAAATTTAGAATCAATCCCAAATTTCATGGTAAAAGATATCGTTACGTTTACGGAATTGGTCTTTCAGCAAAAGCTGCTACTCAAGAAGGTCAGATATGGGATGCACTTATAAAATGCGTAAGTAGTTATAAATTACTATGTATTAGCTTTTTGCATTTATATTAAGCTTTTCCTATTATATAGGATTTGGATACTAAGGAGGTTGTTGCTATGTGGGTAGTTGAAAATTGTTATCCTTCTGAACCTGTTTTTATATCAGCTCCCGGTAATGATAATAATGAAGATGATGGTATATTATTAAGTGTTATATTTGAAGGTCAAGATATCAAGAGTTTTTTAGTGGTACTTGATGCGAAAACCTTATTGGAAATAGCTCGTGTTGATTTACCACAAGTAATACCATTATCTTTCGGACATGGCTCTTTTAAACAAATAATTTAAGAATACTTTTCTTTTTTTTATTATAAAGGAACTTTTTTTTTTTTAAAAAAAAAAATTTAATTTCTTTTAAACTTCGTTTCTTTTTAATCTTAATAATAATGGCTGATATTGGTTTATAATAACTTTTTTATTAATGATTCGATACATTTGAAGAAGCTTATTTAACATTTACCCATGTTATCTTAAATCCAATATAGTTTAATTTAGTATAACTATAAAAGTGGGTTATATCTACCTAAATTAATTTTAACTTATCATTCAATTTGGATTTAATATATTTCGGTGAATTTAACTTCGATTTTTGTATTGATTACATAATTTTATAATTAAGTAAAAATATTTATAAAATAAATAGAAATAGACATGAATTGTATTGTATAAAAAAATAAGTAACAAACTTTGATTTACAAAAATAACTAATTTCTTCTAGATTAGCTAATTAAATAGATTCAAAACGTTATCAAATTTTTAACTTTAAATTTCTTGGAATAATTCCGTATTATAAGAACCTTATTACATATTTAATGAGATTTTAAATTAATATTATTATTTATTATTAATTAATTTTATATTAATATTATAAATTGTTATATATTAAAATTTCAAATATATTTAATTAAGATTTAATAAAACTTTTAAATTATAACTTTTTAATAAAGTTTTAATATTCAAATAATGCTTAATATATTAAATTTTACAATATATTATATTAAAATTTATTTTAATTATATTAAAATTTTTTAATACTTTATCTATTTTAAAAATTCTTTAAAATTTTATTTTAAAAATTTTTTACTAATCTATATAACTGATTGCAATTATATATATAAAATTAATTTAAAAATTAAAATTAGTAGTTTTTTTCTTTTTTTACTAGTGTTGACATATGATATAATCATATGAAAATTTTTATGATTTTATAATTATATGTTATGACTAAATGTATATTTACTTTAGTATTAATAACAATTTTAAAAGTAAAATTTTACTCTCATGTGACTAGTAATATCAAAGAAGTATGAAAAAAATATTTTTTACTACTTAAAATTCTAAATCCTCAAAATACATATAAAAAGTAGAAATACCGAGGGTATGACACTGGGTAATAAATATAAAGAAGATAAAAAATTGTTGGTGATACTAGAAAAGCTGAAGTCTTATATCAGTATTACATAATTATATATATCATATAATTTTAAAATGATTTTACTTATTACTATTATTTGTTATTATAAACTGTATGTAAAAAATTTTTGTAATAAAATTAACACATTTAATAAAAAAATTTTTATAAGCTAAATTATTATTTATTTTGAATGCAACTATTAAAAATTACATTATTTAACTATATTGTTTAACTATATAAAACTATGTATATTATTATTTTAAGTATTTATTTTTTTTTATTAGTAGATAATTTAATTTTGTATTTTGAACATCTTTAGATATTATGATCTTTTTCTATATTATTACTTTGTTAAATTTGTCTGATGTAATATAATTATTTTCTATTATTAATTTATATATCTTTAGAGATCATATTTTTAGTTATAATATTCAAAATTTAATATTTCAGAAAGAATAGATAAAGGTAATTCTTATAATGATTTGATATCTAAAAAAAAAAATTTTAATATTTTTAATGCTTTAACTATGCTTATGTAATATTTAATATCTAAAAAAAGAAATAATACTTTCAATATTTTTAATGTTTAAATAATACTTCTATGATATTTCATAATAAACCAGATCAAAATTACAATTAATTCAATTGTAATATTTTCTATAATAGTAATTTAAATGCTTATTTTAGCTATAGATATCATAAAATCAAACTGAACTTTTTTATTAACTTTTTCTCTAATGATTATAATATATACATTATTTGTTCTAAATTAATTTATATAATTTAATAATATAAATATATGATTCTTTTCTATTTATAATTATAATAAAATCTGTTAAATTAATAGGTAAATTCAATTTAAATTATATTAATATGTATAAATATGAGAAATACAAAAGATTATATTATCTGATTAAATAATAATTCTAAACTAATAGTATCATATTATTTCTTGATTAATAATAAATATATAAGAGCAAAGTATCGTTAAATCTTCAAATATAATAATATAATATAATTTAAAAGTTTTTGATACAATAAATGATAATTTTAAAACACAATAATATTACTATATATATAATATTAAAGAGGTCTCATAAATAAATTTGAAGTACAAAGGGTAGGTAAAAGTATCTACATACTTTTTACTCAATATAAAACTTAAAATATATTTGCAATAATAATAAAAGTCAATTAATTTTTTATTTAAAACTGATTAATATTTACATTTTGTACTAAGTAACTAGTACTTAGTTAAACCACTATTTGTCACAATTACTGCTTGAATTTATTGTGACATACTATTAACTAAGTTTTCAATAGTATGTTTTAGAATTTCCTGCCAAGCCTTTTTAACATATTAATCAAAATTAGTAAGATTAGATAAAGGTTTTTTATAAGCTCAGATGCTTTTCTTGACTTCAGCCTAAAGATTCTCAATTAGGACTTTGAGCTGGCCAAGATTATGTATAAAGATTGTTTTTTACTTGAAAAATCATTACAGTTAATTCTTTAGTTTTTACCATTTTTTTTTAGATTTTTAGAGAAAAAAAATTTATTAAAAAAAAA